TGTGCCACACACATGACTCCTGTTACTATGGACGCGGGACACCGGGACCCTGCACTGCCCCATATTGCAGGACCGGACCGCACTGAGACTGTGCGGCCCGGTACCATTTGATCCGCGGACCGGTAACGGTCCGCGGACCGGGGTTGGGGACCACTGCCCTAGATCATTAAAAAATATATATTCACAGCCCAGAGTCTCCATTTAATGCATTCTCCTTCAACTAGGGAGACTGCATAGCACAGAGTGATTCAAAGAGGAATGATTCACATAATGCTAATAGGCATACCACTCAGTTACTTGGCACCAATTCAGTCAGCCATGAATTCAGCTTCCAGACTTCTGTTCCATTCTATGTAATGATCCTCCATCTCCAGTTAATGTCTGCACTTTCTATTGCTTCTAGGATTGAATCCAAACTTCTAGTCTTTACCTATGAACCCCTTAATAATGCTGCAACCCCCATATGTCTCATTCCCTTCTATATTCCAAAACATGCTTTCAGATCTGCCAGTGATCTGCTCCTGTCATTATCTCTTGTTGGCACCTCCCACTCTCGCATCCAAGAGTTCTCCCACGCTGCACCTTCTCTTTGGAATGATCTTGCTGTTTTACAATTTTTCTTTTATTACACTTTTCTTTCTCTTTTCAGTTTTGCTTCTTCACTGATCTGTTCTACTTTCACACTCATCATGCAGAGACCTGGAAAGATGTCTTTCTTTTTATCCTAATAATGGGAAACTGTAAATGTTTTACAAACATTTAATACAGGACAAAGGATTCCCTGTCCACTATGGGTTAGCTGCAGACACAGCAATTAAGTTTGTATTGAGCCGTAAGATATAAGATGAGAACCTAAACTGGCAGCCAATATGAGAATATTATATAGTAGTATGTCGTCATCCGGTTTGTAACCATAAAAAACATTTGGCTTCAAAAAGAAATAAAGACATATTGAGAAAGAGCAAATAGAGAACAATGTGTATGAACAGTAAAGTAGATATAAAAGAGAGATTGGGAGGAGCATGGGGAACATATAAGAAAGAGGAAGAGAAGGGATGGGAGTAGTGGGCGAGATGCATTACTAGTTATTTTCTGGGCATCTTTAGCAGACATACAAGGAAAGACCAATAGCTATTTTTGTTTTTTTGATATAGCAGTTCAATTTGAGTCAATGTGATGAGTTATTCAATCAACTTGAGCTACTTATCTTTGTAAAAACAGGCTTTTTTAATAGCACTTGGTGAAGAGACAGTAAAAACTAAGGGGAGAGGAGCCTAAAACTCCACCCGCTAGCTGGATTGAAGACAACATAGTATTCATCATATGCAATATTTATTGTCCAATCAAAGTCACTGAAATAGATATGCTTTCAGATAGATTTTGTACAAACAACCTCCATTTCAATATTCTTATATCTGCTTTACCGATACAGCAGTTGTTCAGGTTGTATAAAAATTATTGTGTGGCCCAGTAATCCCATAGATCTATAGCACTCAGTTATCATCACTCTGTAACAGACAGAACTGGTGTTACACCCTCTCATCCTCGGCAATACATCTTAATACTTGTGATAAGTGTGACTGTTACTTAGATAAAAATGTTTAAATGTGTATTTTTTGGCCCTGATTTTATTAAAGTATATACAAAACCACTGTACATTCCCTATAAGACATGTTTCTGTAACTTTAGTACAGGTACACTGTATGGCCAAAATATGTGGACGCTGATGAGTTTGGTGTGGAGGAGTTTGAGTGGCCGGCACAGAGCCCTGACCTCAAACCTACGGAACTCCTTTGGGATAAATTGGAATGCTCATTGTGAGCCAGGTCCGATGTGCAGTATGTCATGTGTTCCAATAAATATCCTTATTAATCCCATCCCCTCAGCTGTCATAAACCAACAGCCAACATATCTGCAAGGGATTCCAACTGGTGTTGGAAACCTCCTAAATTCAATTAACAGTCAAACCGTGGCCTTGTGGGGAGAGAAATGGCAGTATTATGCTCATACAGATCAGTGCTGCAAAGCATTTCTGTGTGTGTTTGACAAACACTGTTCACGATATAGCTAAATTGGAACCCTCCTATTCATAACGAAAAACATCTCTTTAATTCCAGCTGCTCCCTCACCCCTGTGCATGAGGAGCAGTTTTAGTCTATTGAATGCAAATGTATGCTTACGACATTGTTTTCTCTTTTTCATTTCTAGCTGTGGTGTCAATGTTTTCTCTGCCAGCCATTTATGACAAGTACCAGGTAAGCATTATTAATAATGGCTAAATCAACCCAAAACTGACTGCAAATTTTGTGAGGTTGGTGGCAAATTTAGTGGCTTCTGTTTGTATATGGTTTGGCAATTTACTGGTGAGCTATCCCCATCCATACTACTGGCTCCGCCTATTTGCAATATAAAGTAAATGTTAGTGTTAGGTTCCCCCGATGGCATGTCCATAATGCAGAACAATCAAATAAATGATGAATTCAGCTAAGTGTGACACCTTTAGTATGGCTTTGTGGTTGGGAGCAAGGCCAGAAATGACTAAAATATAAATCTCCGCACTAGGGCTAAGAACTATTTCCTCAAGAACCAACCGAAATTCGCACAGTGTATGGCCACCTTAAGAAACACAATAAAATGGGGCTTTCCCGATACCTGAGCATGCCAATCCCACAAACAATAAAACATTACTTTTACTTTATACATTTAAAACTTTTACACACACATCCTCCTTAAAGCAAGGCGGGCAACACAATGACGTCATTGGTTGTTAGGAACGTAGCGGTCCTAACAACCAGTGATTGAAGAGGAGGGGAACCAAGTACAGATTAGCGGACAAAACCACTGATCGGTCCGTGTCCGGACCGCTGTCTGCCATTTGGGCCCCTCTGTAGTAGATAAATGACTTTGTTTATTGACTTCACATTGTCTGACTTTTATTTTATGAATTGATATTGTGGAGAGAAATATCAAATGTGGCACAAGTAATTTTTATGGTGGATGTAACAAGCACAAATGTGAATGCAATGACTTATAAAGGGTCTATAATAATGGTCTCATGTAATGTCTCTAGTCTATGAAAGTTTTCTACCTATCAATTCCTATTTGTTATGCCGGGCTCTCACCAGAAAACATACTCACCTGCCCAGTGAATCCAGTGTTGTCCGGCTGTGATCCGCTAATTTGCTGCAAACCACAGCCCAGATCTTGCACCACCATCTTCTTGTGTAATGTCATCGGGAGATTGCTGTCTCTTCTGGTTCCTGCAGCCTCTGGAATAGGTGACAAGGATATCCCAGGAGGCTGCTGAAACAGAACATTCCATTCTCGCCTAGGCAAGAATGGCGGCGAAGAGTTGGAGCGCATCAAAATAAAAAAGTAATCAAACTCCCCTCTGACATTTTGTATTGCGGAGGTGTGTGTATGGGAATTGCAGGGAGCTAAAGTAGACCTGGCACTGAAATCCATCCATGTCTCAAGCCTCCAGCAACCCCTATAGTTTGCGTGTAATCTTTGTCTCTGGTTGCACGTCTGTAGGCTGTGACAGCTTCCTGTAGCATTTCATTCACTGAATATAATGTGTGGTCCTTTGGTAATGTCAGGGGATGCATTTGAGGCCCTGTATATCCAAGAAAGCTCCCCACCAATGCTTTACCATAAACTACCAGGACCTGCCTAGTATTGCATAATGTAAAAATCTTTTTTGAACTACAGTTTATAAGCAAATAACTCAACTTAAATATACTTCCAGGCACAGATTGACCAGTATTTGGGACTTGTGAGGACAAACATGAATATGATTGTGGCAAAGTAAGTTGATAAAAGTATCCAAAATAATTGTTATAAGTTATACATACCTTGTTATGTGTACTGATGCTATCTGAGCCTCATTGGGGAGGTTTCTTCTCATTTCCTGCTTGGACAGGAAATAATGGGAAATATCTGCAATGGGAACGCAGACATTAACAAATATTTTTTTTTGTAACATGCGGCAGGGGGTAAACATTCTATTACAGGGAGAGGAAACCCTGAACATTACAGGGAGAGAAAACCTGAACATTACATGGAGAGAAAACCTGAACATTACAGGGAGAGAAACCCTGAACATTACAGGGAGAGAAACCCTGAACATTACAGGGAGAGAAACCCTAAACATTACAGGGAGAGAAAACCTGAACATTACAGGGAGAGAAACCCTAAACATTACAGGGAGAGAAACACTAAACATTACAGGGAGAGGAAACCCTGAACATTACAGGGAGAGGAAACCTGAACATTACAGGGAGAGGAAACCTGAACATTACAGGGAGAGGAAACCTGAACATTACAGGGAGAGGAAACCTGAACATTACAGGGAGAGGAAACCTGAACATTACAGGGAGAGGAAACCTGAACATTACAGGGAGAGGAAACCTGAACATTACAGGGAGAGGAAACCTGAACATTACAGGGAGAGGAAACCTGAACATTACAGGGAGAGGAAACCTGAACATTACAGGGAGAGGAAACCTGAACATTACAGGGAGAGGAAACCTGAACATTACAGGGAGAGGAAACCTGAACATTACAGGGAGAGGAAACCTGAACATTACAGGGAGAGGAAACCTGAACATTACAGGGAGAGGAAACCTGAACATTACAGGGAGAGGAAACCTGAACATTACAGGGAGAGGAAACCTGAACATTACAGGGAGAGGAAACCTGAACATTACAGGGAGAGGAAACCTGAACATTACAGGGAGAGGAAACCTGAACATTACAGGGAGAGGAAACCTGAACATTACAGGGAGAGGAAACCTGAACATTACAGGGAGAGGAAACCTGAACATTACAGGGAGAGGAAACCTGAACATTACAGGGAGAGGAAACCTGAACATTACAGGGAGAGGAAACCTGAACATTACAGGGAGAGGAAACCTGAACATTACAGGGAGAGGAAACCTGAACATTACAGGGAGAGGAAACCTGAACATTACAGGGAGAGGAAACCTGAACATTACAGGGAGAGGAAACCTGAACATTACAGGGAGAGGAAACCTGAACATTACAGGGAGAGGAAACCTGAACATTACAGGGAGAGGAAACCTGAACATTACAGGGAGAGGAAACCTGAACATTACAGGGAGAGGAAACCTGAACATTACAGGGAGAGGAAACCTGAACATTACAGGGAGAGGAAACCTGAACATTACAGGGAGAGGAAACCTGAACATTACAGGGAGAGGAAACCTGAACATTACAGGGAGAGGAAACCTGAACATTACAGGGAGAGGAAACCTGAACATTACAGGGAGAGGAAACCTGAACATTACAGGGAGAGGAAACCTGAACATTACAGGGAGAGGAAACCTGAACATTACAGGGAGAGGAAACCTGAACATTACAGGGAGAGGAAACCTGAACATTACAGGGAGAGGAAACCTGAACATTACAGGGAGAGGAAACCTGAACATTACAGGGAGAGGAAACCTGAACATTACAGGGAGAGGAAACCTGAACATTACAGGGAGAGGAAACCTGAACATTACAGGGAGAGGAAACCTGAACATTACAGGGAGAGGAAACCTGAACATTACAGGGAGAGGAAACCTGAACATTACAGGGAGAGGAAACCTGAACATTACAGGGAGAGGAAACCTGAACATTACAGGGAGAGGAAACCTGAACATTACAGGGAGAGGAAACCTGAACATTACAGGGAGAGGAAACCTGAACATTACAGGGAGAGGAAACCTGAACATTACAGGGAGAGGAAACCTGAACATTACAGGGAGAGGAAACCTGAACATTACAGGGAGAGGAAACCTGAACATTACAGGGAGAGGAAACCTGAACATTACAGGGAGAGGAAACCTGAACATTACAGGGAGAGGAAACCTGAACATTACAGGGAGAGGAAACCTGAACATTACAGGGAGAGGAAACCTGAACATTACAGGGAGAGGAAACCTGAACATTACAGGGAGAGGAAACCTGAACATTACAGGGAGAGGAAACCTGAACATTACAGGGAGAGGAAACCTGAACATTACAGGGAGAGGAAACCTGAACATTACAGGGAGAGGAAACCTGAACATTACAGGGAGAGGAAACCTGAACATTACAGGGAGAGGAAACCTGAACATTACAGGGAGAGGAAACCTGAACATTACAGGGAGAGGAAACCTGAACATTACAGGGAGAGGAAACCTGAACATTACAGGGAGAGGAAACCTGAACATTACAGGGAGAGGAAACCTGAACATTACAGGGAGAGGAAACCTGAACATTACAGGGAGAGGAAACCTGAACATTACAGGGAGAGGAAACCTGAACATTACAGGGAGAGGAAACCTGAACATTACAGGGAGAGGAAACCTGAACATTACAGGGAGAGGAAACCTGAACATTACAGGGAGAGGAAACCTGAACATTACAGGGAGAGGAAACCTGAACATTACAGGGAGAGGAAACCTGAACATTACAGGGAGAGGAAACCTGAACATTACAGGGAGAGGAAACCTGAACATTACAGGGAGAGGAAACCTGAACATTACAGGGAGAGGAAACCTGAACATTACAGGGAGAGGAAACCTGAACATTACAGGGAGAGGAAACCTGAACATTACAGGGAGAGGAAACCTGAACATTACAGGGAGAGGAAACCTGAACATTACAGGGAGAGGAAACCTGAACATTACAGGGAGAGGAAACCTGAACATTACAGGGAGAGGAAACCTGAACATTACAGGGAGAGGAAACCTGAACATTACAGGGAGAGGAAACCTGAACATTACAGGGAGAGGAAACCTGAACATTACAGGGAGAGGAAACCTGAACATTACAGGGAGAGGAAACCTGAACATTACAGGGAGAGGAAACCTGAACATTACAGGGAGAGGAAACCTGAACATTACAGGGAGAGGAAACCTGAACATTACAGGGAGAGGAAACCTGAACATTACAGGGAGAGGAAACCTGAACATTACAGGGAGAGGAAACCTGAACATTACAGGGAGAGGAAACCTGAACATTACAGGGAGAGGAAACCTGAACATTACAGGGAGAGGAAACCTGAACATTACAGGGAGAGGAAACCTGAACATTACAGGGAGAGGAAACCTGAACATTACAGGGAGAGGAAACCTGAACATTACAGGGAGAGGAAACCTGAACATTACAGGGAGAGGAAACCTGAACATTACAGGGAGAGGAAACCTGAACATTACAGGGAGAGGAAACCTGAACATTACAGGGAGAGGAAACCTGAACATTACAGGGAGAGGAAACCTGAACATTACAGGGAGAGGAAACCTGAACATTACAGGGAGAGGAAACCTGAACATTACAGGGAGAGGAAACCTGAACATTACAGGGAGAGGAAACCTGAACATTACAGGGAGAGGAAACCTGAACATTACAGGGAGAGGAAACCTGAACATTACAGGGAGAGGAAACCTGAACATTACAGGGAGAGGAAACCTGAACATTACAGGGAGAGGAAACCTGAACATTACAGGGAGAGGAAACCTGAACATTACAGGGAGAGGAAACCTGAACATTACAGGGAGAGGAAACCTGAACATTACAGGGAGAGGAAACCTGAACATTACAGGGAGAGGAAACCTGAACATTACAGGGAGAGGAAACCTGAACATTACAGGGAGAGGAAACCTGAACATTACAGGGAGAGGAAACCTGAACATTACAGGGAGAGGAAACCTGAACATTACAGGGAGAGGAAACCTGAACATTACAGGGAGAGGAAACCTGAACATTACAGGGAGAGGAAACCTGAACATTACAGGGAGAGGAAACCTGAACATTACAGGGAGAGGAAACCTGAACATTACAGGGAGAGGAAACCTGAACATTACAGGGAGAGGAAACCTGAACATTACAGGGAGAGGAAACCTGAACATTACAGGGAGAGGAAACCTGAACATTACAGGGAGAGGAAACCTGAACATTACAGGGAGAGGAAACCTGAACATTACAGGGAGAGGAAACCTGAACATTACAGGGAGAGGAAACCTGAACATTACAGGGAGAGGAAACCTGAACATTACAGGGAGAGGAAACCTGAACATTACAGGGAGAGGAAACCTGAACATTACAGGGAGAGGAAACCTGAACATTACAGGGAGAGGAAACCTGAACATTACAGGGAGAGGAAACCTGAACATTACAGGGAGAGGAAACCTGAACATTACAGGGAGAGGAAACCTGAACATTACAGGGAGAGGAAACCTGAACATTACAGGGAGAGGAAACCTGAACATTACAGGGAGAGGAAACCTGAACATTACAGGGAGAGGAAACCTGAACATTACAGGGAGAGGAAACCTGAACATTACAGGGAGAGGAAACCTGAACATTACAGGGAGAGGAAACCTGAACATTACAGGGAGAGGAAACCTGAACATTACAGGGAGAGGAAACCTGAACATTACAGGGAGAGGAAACCCTGAACATTACAGGGAGAGAAACCCTGAACGTTACAGGGAGAGGAAACCTGAACGTTACAGGTAGAGAAACCCTAAACATTACAGGGAGAGAAACCCTGAACGTTACAGGGAGAGGAAACCTGAACATTACAGGGAGAGGAAACCCTGAACATTATAGGGAGAGAAACTTTGAACATTACAGGAAGAGGAAACCCTGAACATTACAAGGAGAGGAAACCCTGAACATTACAAGGAGAGAAAACCTAAACGTTACAGGGAGCGAAACACTGGACATTACAGGGAGAGAAAGCCTGAACATTACAGGGAGAGGAAACCTGAACATTACAGGGAGAGAAACCCTAAACGTTACAGGGAGCGAAACACTGGACATTACAGGGAGAGAAACTCTGAACATTACAGGGAGAGGAAACCTGAACATTACAGGGAGCGAAACACTGGACATTAAAGGGGGAGAAAGCCTGAACATTAAAGGGAGAGGAAACCTGAACATTACAGGGCGAGGAAACCTGAACATTACATGGAGAGAAAACCTAAACGTTACAGGGAGCGAAACACTGGATATTACAGGGAGAGAAACTCTGAACATTACAGGGAGAGGAAACCCTGAACATTACAGGGAGAGAAAACCTAAACATTACAGTGAGAGAAAACCTGAACATTACAGGGAGCGAAACTCTGGACATTACAGGGAGCGAAACTCTGGACATTACAGGGAGGGAAAGCCTGAACATTACAGGGGAAGAAAACCTGAACATTACTGGGAGAGGAAACCTGAACATTACAAGGAGTGGAAACATGAACATTACAGGGAGCGAAACTCTGGAAAGCCTGAACATTACAGGGAGAAGAAACCTGAACATTACAGGGAGAGAAACCCTGAACATTACAGGGAGAGAAACCTGAACATTAGAGGGAGAGAAACCTGAACATTACAGGGAGAGAAAACCTGAACATTACAGGGAGAGGAAACCCTGAACATTACAGGGAGAGAAAACCTGAACATTGCAGGGAGAGGAAGCCTGAACATTGCAGGGAGCGAAACTCTGAACATTACAGGGAGAGAAAACCTGAACATTACAGGGAGAGGAAACCCTGAACATTAAAGGGAGAGAAAACCTGAACAAAGTAAGGGCAAAACTGTATTTTTTTACAAAAAAATGTGGTCTTGTTTTATTTTCAGTGCTCTACAATGCTGAGTTTTCTTTTGCAAGAGTTTAATTCTACTAACTCTTCTCCACCTGTTCTCAAAACAAACAAATACATAAATCAAAATAAAATGTAGCCACAAGAAGGGCACATTACAGGGAGAGAAAACATGCACAAAGTAAGGGGAAAATTGTATTTTTTTAATTTAAAAAATCTTATCCGGTTTTATTTAAAATGATCTACATAGCTGAGTATTCTTTTGTTAAGCTCTACTTTAACTTTTTCCCACTCTTTCTGAAAACTAAAAATAAATAAATATATACAAATTTAGCTACAGGAAGTGCACATTGCAGGGAGATAAAACATGCACAAAGAAAGGGGAAAACTGTATTTTTTTTAACAAAAAAGAAATGTGATCCTCTACAGTTCTACTTTCTTTCTCAAAACAAAAACAAAAAATGTAAATACATTTTAAAAATAATAATAAAATGTATCTGGTATGAGGTTTTAAAGCAAAACATGTTCCAAATATTATATTTGTACTTGAAATGTCAACTACACTTTTTGTCTGTTTTGCAGGGTCCAGGCTAAAATCCCAGGTGCCAAACAGAAGGAGTAAATAAAATTGTCAAGTCAAGTCAACTCTTGGTAAATTGTGTGGAGTCCAACGTGGAAACAGCTGTGTTACTACACTTCTCTTATCAACACACCGTGTTCCTTGAAACATCCAAAAAAAAAAAAAACTTCAAGAAGCAGCTCTTCCAAAGCTACTTCTCTGCTCTTAGAATACTTGCAATCAGCCGTGTCAAGCACTCCAGTATAGTGAAGAGATACAAAAAAAGTGTACTAGATGTGTTTCTTTTATGTGTTGCTTACAAGTGCATGATGTTGGAAGCCTAAGTATTTTTTATTTTCTAATTTATTATAATTTTTAGTGTTTTTCTGCTATACTTGGCAGCGCTTCTATAACTTAATGTGACGTGCGGCTAGGGCTTTATGCTTAGGGCACTGATGCAATAGTACTGACTTGCTTCATTGTCTCTGGGCTTGCTGGTTGGAGTTCTTTCGATGATATAAATATATATATATACGTAGAACTGTAGACTAATGTTTCGTGTTTTCCAGCACAAGTGAAATCCGTGTGCGGTACTTCTCTCCGTTTTTGTATGAAATAAACTCGCAGTACTCCTGTTGTAAGGGATCGGGGGGAAAAAAAAATACAGATTTACATGTATGGTATCTAGACCAGTTCAGCTTGTCGGTTTATTAATTACAATTTGTATTCCATTCTCTGTAGTTCCTAAAGAACTTATGGACTCTGATTATTTGCACTTATGATGTACTTGACACTGAATGCATAAATAAAACGTCACTAAATGTATAAGGTTCTTTTGTTGAGCTTGTAGAACTCTCTATCCAAACACTTCACAACAATGTCTGATTGTTACAATGGCAAATGTGACCATGAAAACCAGTTATTTATTGCACAGAAACATACGCACTGTATCTATCTGCTGGTTTCCTAACCTCAATATTTCAGTACAAATGGGAATAAACTCTGATTCTTGCCAAGGTTTTGTGTTTTCTATTTACTACCTATGTAGGGGTGACCAGTCCCAAAGGACAAGATGTTCTATCAGGGATGAAAATGTAGGGGCAATGGCCGTACAACTGTGTGGATAGAAATGGAGGAGCTCTTTCTACAAAGGTGCAAGCTCTGACACTGATCCTGGTTTCACTACCTTGCCTTGTGAGCCACTTACCTGAAACAAGCATTCGGCTAGTGAGGTCTGAACCCCTGTCCTGCATACTTGTTCTGGATTCATGGATCTGGATCTAGTAGTTCTGTCTGATGCTAGTGGCTGGTGTTGTAGGAACAATCTATTGGTTGATTTAGAAAACCTATGCTAGTGGCTAGTGCTACCCCATGAGATAAGCATCATCCAAGGAAACCTCAAAAGCTTTAAGAGCCAATGAGAACTACCGACCTATATCAAGGAGTAAACAAATGATGAAACGTCTATATAAATATATAGGTCTTTATAAAATACTGATAATGAAAAGGTAAAAACAAGGGATCATTAAAAAAAACATCCTTACAAATATTAAAACCAACCTTAGAACTAGGGATGCACCAATACCGTTTTTTTGGTATCAAGTACCGATACTTTTTTTTTGTGGTACTCGCCAGTCCTGAGTACTGGTGCTGTGTGCCCAGATTATCAGGAAGTTGGGCGGAAGATCATGACCCATTGGCCAGCTTCCTGATTGCCTGTGAAGCCGGTGTTCTAGCAAAGGTATTCTTCGCTAGAACTCCGGCTTCACAGGCAATCAGGAAGCTGGCCGCCGGGTCATGATCTGCCGCCCAACTTCCTGATAATCTGGGCACACAGCACTTCACATGCTGCGGCTGCCTAGCAACAGGTGAAGCTGGAATCCTAGTCAATCAGGAAGCAGGGCGACATGTCATGACCCGCTTCCTGATTGGCTAGGAAGCTGGCGTCACTTGTTGCTAGGTAGCGTGGCTTCCTCACCAATCAGGAAGTCAGAAGAGAAAAACAATAGATCTGAATCTCACACTGAGGATTGAGAAGAACATTCTTACCTTTGCGTTTGACAGGGAGGCAAACAGGTCCACTTGGTGCTTGTCCCATTTCCTTGTTTTGGACAGAAAGACATCCTGGTTCAAACACCACTCCCATGTACTGTCCTCGAAAGACAAATAGATAAATTATATATACAGTATATATACATTTCTGTGCAAGGATTTTCTGTGTATATGATTTGATACAAATGGGATGGATTGTTTAGGTTTGTCCTCCATGTTGAATAGTTTTGTTAACACTAAAGGAGATTGTACAATGAGGTTGCATAGTTTATGACCAGTTTACCCCAAAACAGCTGGATTTGGTGGTTGTCATGTCCCAGTGCTTCTTAAACTGATGCATGGAGAATCTGGCTGCTGTGGCCATCTTTGTTTGTCATCAGTAATGTTTATCATACAGCAGTTTTAGCCCTATAATGTATATTCTTTATACATTCACCTGCTGTACTTGTGCCACAAGACTTCACTTGATTATTAATTTTGTTGCTCAAGCAAAACAAGTTTAATTTTCCTGGCATGAGCACAATAGTATCTTCTGTTAACGGACCGCTGTTTTGCTTTTGCCTTGGGAAATTTTCTTTAACCGAACCTGCAAAACAAAGAACCTTTTTTGTGTATTGATTATGACCTGCCAAATTCTATGTAAAATAGGAATGGTAGGACATGTGGCAGGGAGACTAAAAAGCAAAAATAGATCAGCAAGAAATTGCAAGTCTACCCATAGACATGTGGGTCACCTACACAAGGTTGAACATCGTCTGAACAGAAAATTTCCAGGCACCGCAGGGTGGTCTATAAACTTGCAAAGTTGGCTCTGTGGACCTACCAATTTGAGGTGTGGAGAGAATGGTAAGGCGCAGACTGGTACAAGCAGACACTGCCAGTTCCTGTACAAGAGACCCCCACTTCCTGGAGAAGAACAGATTGGGGTAAGCTGTTGAAATTCTTAGAGATCTGTTAGATTTGCTGACTCTAATCTCCTCACTATGGACTGGTTAAGACAGGGCTAAATAAATCCCAGGAGCCAGGTCGCCAATGCGACCAGAAATTGCGTCCAGGCGCCTGGCCATTTGTCAGCCCATTCACTGCACATCCCTTTCTGCTGCTGCCATAACTGTGCCCGTTCTCCCCACTGTAAACTCAGACTGTCAGTAGTTTTTCTTTACAGGCTGTAATCGGCTGCAGCGGTCTGTGTCAGAGGGGACAGATAGCCGATTACAGCCTGTAAGGAGAAACTGCTGACAGTCTGAGTTTCCTTCTCCCCATGCTGCCTAATCCCCCCTCCGCACTGGGCTCCTGCTGTTGGCCGCGATTGGTCTCCAATTCAGCAGCTGGCAGCAATAGCCAGCTTGCTATCGGCTCTTTTATATAGCAGTAGCCAATAGCAGACTGGCTATTGCACCTGCCCATGCCCACTGCCTGCTGTCAATCAGCAGAGGAGAATCTGAAGGAGAATTTTCTAGAACTTTTTTAGGTGGCTCCAAGTTTCCCAGAAAATTTGTCAAGCCCTGGGTTAATAGATTATATTAAAAATACAGCAACCAAAGGCGAGCCTCATTTACCAAACAGGTCTGCAGATGGAGGATAGTGTAATCATTTGCAGATTTACAGTCCAGTGGCAGCGTCCGCAGACCAGAGCAACCCCAATGAAAGTTGGAGGCCCAGGTGGGATATCGGTGGTGTGGTTACCCTTTTTAAAAACTATAGGAGGCTGTTGGTGGCTTTGTGATCTGGTGAGTTTGCAATGCAGTGAATAAGTTTTGCTGGTTACAGGAGGAACCCAAAAAGGCTAAGAGAAGGAAATTTGAATGGAAAACCAAAGGAGGTGGGACTCTTGAGCCATCAAAACCAACTCACCCAGGGAAGCATAACTCAAGTTGGGAGTTGGAGACCCTGTACTGGGGAAAGAGACATTTTAAGAAACCAGAGCATAGTAAAAAGATGATTGAGAACATTTGACAACCTTGACATAACCATAGTGTGTAAATCAAGCCAAGTGATGTACTTTGTATGAAAAGGCTGGGAGCATTTAGAAAGCTGAATGAAATGATGAGGAAATAAAAGTATTTCAAATCTGCGGACATTGGATAAAAAGGTGAGGGAATAATACAATCAGGAAAATATATAATATTGCACAATTAAAGCCAGATAAAAAAAATTAGGTGTTATAGTACATGTGTTCGGCGCTCAACTCTGTCCCCCTCCACCCTGACTGTGAAATGCCCCTCAGCATCCTCACATCCAATGTAAGTCAAAAGACCTGCATTAGACGTGATGAAGTCAGCAGTCCTTAGACGGCCGGAGCCTGGGGCAGACAAGACTGCAGGGACTGGTCTAGCAGCCCGGCAGGACAGAAGATCAGGTGACTATATATGCATTATTAGAGCCCCCTAGACAAAGCTAGCACATAACACTTGCACTGCGGGGTTAGCCCTACTGCAAGGGTTAGTTTTTTTAATTCTCAGAGTTCTTTATGAATCTAATAATGTAGTAATCAACACAGAGGAGTTAACAGAAGAAGCTTACTTGAAGGTTCTCACCCATCAATGATTAAAGCGGACCTTTACCCATATCTTTACAATATCAACAAACAAACCTTTAGACATGTTTAGTAATGACAATCTACAAACAGATATGTCTGTGAAGGTTCTCATTCATCCAGGTCATGGTATATCTGTAAAAAATAAGTCAAGGCAACTGGACTTGCTGTATTGTTCTTGAAAACGTTTCACTGGTCATCCGTTGCACTTCTGAATTGAGAAAACTGGTCGGATGACCTGTGAAACGTCTTCAAGAACAATACAGCAAGTCCAGTTGCCTTGACTTATTTTTTTACAGATATACAAACACCACGTCTCCAACAAACACACACTTCTAGATAATTGCAGGCTTTGTATTCTTTGCATACCTTATTTCTCTTTTCTTCCACAGTCTTCTGACAGCAGCCATGTTTACTAAGGGCAGATTACTAGCACCCCTATTACTTCCTGGATTTCTGGCACATGTGACTAGGACATGTGACCATGCACATCATCTCAGGGGAGGAAAATGCCTTTCCAGATGAGATTTCCCAGCAACGCTCTGCTGGTAACAAGGCAATCCCAGTGTGGCAAACTGTAGTAATTTGCACATTCAAAGCAGGATCCAAAACAGGCATTCGCAGCCTCCTCTCCCCTGTGGTCGGAGACTTGCTGATGTCATCACATACAATGCAGGTCTCATAGCCCTGTATTATAGGTGAATATTGCCGAGGGACAGTCCACAAGCTGGAGTGTGGGAGGAGCACTTAGATGTTCAGGAATCCTAAAGTAAATGTTTTGAAATGCAATAATGTTGCCGGCAGGTAGTGGCTTAAGTCCGGGCAAAACTGTTACTGACACATCCCCCTCCCGCTCAATCAGTTGCGGCTGGGGCATTCTTTGCCCCACTGCTATATGTCATAAAGCAGTTGTGGGCGACTCTGGCCCTCCAGCTGTGGTTTAACTACAAATCCCAACAAGCATCTGGGAATAATGCCTGCTACTGTCAGTTTTGCAATACCTCTTGGGCCTTTTAGTTCCACAACAGCTGGGGGGCCGGAGTTGCCCACCCCTGTCATAAAGGAATGTGGAATGCCCCTGCCGCAGCTTAATGGGCTGAGGGGGGGTGGTGCATATCCAATTTTAATTTGTCTATAAAAATATTGCATGTTTTCTAGGTGTTAGCAATTGTTTGTTTCATGGCTGTGAAGACAAGGGCAGGCAGGCAACAGAACACTTTTAAAGGAGAACTATGAGGTGAGTGCTTTTCACTCACCTCATAGTTCTAGCATCAAATTCAAAAATTGTCAACTAGAACTTGTGCTGCAAGTCTACAACTTGCCAGGAATGTGTGCAGCAAGTTAACAAGAATTACAATTTAACCCTGCCACAAGTTTGTGGCAAGTTATCCTTGCTATATGGGTAGTTCTCCTTTAATACTTAAAAAGTCCAAAATATATGGACAACTAGGAAGGAGGTACAGAGGTATACATTTTAAAAGAGGGAGAGCTGGGAGCAAAGTATATTCTTGTATATATATACTGTATATATGTATACACTACATCAGGGCTCAAAATTTCCACTCGCCCACTCGCATTTGGCGAGTGGAAATAAAATTGCCAAAAGTATTGGGACGCCTGCCTTAACACGCACATAAACTTTAATGGCATCCCAGTCTTAGTGCGTAGGGTTCAATATTGAGTTGGCCCGCCCTTTGCCGCTATAACAGCTTCAACTGTTCTGGGAAGGCGTCCACAAGGTTTAGGGGTGTGTCTATGGGAATGTTTGACCATTCTTCCACAAGCGCATTTGTGAGGTCAGGTACTGATGTTGGACATGAAGGCCGGGCTCACAGTCTCCGCTCTAATTCATCCCAAAGGTGTTCTATCGGGTTGAGGTCAGGACTATGTGCAGGCCAGCCAAGTTCCTCCACCCCAAACTCGCTCATCCATGTCTTTATGGACCTTGCTTTATGCATTGGTGCTCAGTCATGTTGGAACAGGAAGGGGCCATCCCCAAACTGTTCGCACAAAGTTGTCTTGGTCTGCTGATGCCTTAAGAATTCACTTCACTGGAACTAAGAAGCCAAGCCCAACCCCACACCATAATCCCCCCTCCACCAAACTTTACACTTGGCACAATGCAGTCCGGCAAGTATCATTCTCCTGGCAACCGCCAAACCCAGACACGTGTGATTCGTCACTCCAGAGAACACGTCTCCACTTCTCTAGAGTCCAGCGGCGGCGTGCTTTACACCACTGCATCTGACGCTTTGCATTGCACTTGGTGATGGAAGACTTGGATGAAGCTGCTCGGCCATGTAAACCCATTCCACGGAGCTCTCTACGAACTGTTGTTGTGCCTATCTGATGGCCACCAGAAGTTTGGAGGTCTGTAGCTATTGACACTGCAGACAGTTGGCGACATCTGCGCACTGTACGCTTCAGCATGCGCTGACCCATCTCTGTCATTTTATATGGCCTACCACTTTGTGGCTGAGTTGCTGTTGTTCCCAGTTGCTTCCACTTTGTTATAATACCACTAACAAAAATACAGAATAAAGAGACAGGGGCCCTTTAATAGTTTTATTTACATTGTTTACAGCCACTGCCAAACATTTCACCTCCCACATTTCAAATTATGAGCGCAATCAGCTAAGCACCCCTGTGCAGACATACTTAGTACGCTCACTGAAGCTGCGGGACTGTACCATTACTTTAAAAGAGGGGTGTATCCTTATAGCGGCGTCTGGTTGCCTTGGTAACCTTTAGCGGCCTGCTCCCGTGATTGGATACGGCAACTCGGACAGGAGAAGAAATGGCTTCGGTACCGGACTGCAAGGGGGTGTCGGTGGTTTTGGAGCACTTCATGGAAATCGGTGAGTGCGGAGCGCAGAATGCCCAGCCTGAGAAATCTCGGACAGGGAAAGAGATGACGAGACAGACACGTGACCTGCACAGCCATCACCAACCTGCCGAGCGCGGCCGCTGCATTCTTATTCATTTCTCCGTTTGTTTGTTTTAAGTCTTTATTAAATTGTCTCATGTGTATGCAAACAACATCAATTCAGTAAACAAGGCATTGTTGGTTTTTAATGCCAAGGTTATGATTGAATACCCTTATTATACAATGGAGCTGGGAATAATGTTCCCAGAAATGTGCTGTGCACACTGCTCCAGGTATATCTTAACATTTATCTAAACCCAAGAACAGAACTTTAATATATTACATTTTACCTTCCTTAGATTTGGTAGCTGCATTAGTTTTCTATCTTCAGGCTTTTTTTCCATCCTGTCGGTAACACACTTCCTGTACTAGGGTGACACAACACTCTCTTACTGTACCCATTGAGGAGCAGTGTTGTCACTGTAGGACAGGAAGTGACCTGGTACTACAAACCTACTCATCCTTATATCATGGGAGGTGTTCTGTAGTTCACAGAATAAAATGGGAACAATACAAACTGTTAACAGTGAGCAGAGACGGCGAGCACAGGAAGTTGGCACACTGGACCTCTGAAAGCAGGGCCGTCCTTATAATGGAAGTTACCAAGGAGGTATCTCTTTGGGTCACCTGTAGGGGAGGGCAGGCGGAGCGGCATGGCTGCACAATGCACCTGCCGCCCCCTTCCTGGCAGAGCGTCCCAGGTTTCTAAGCCAGCAGCACTCAGTAAAATAGGACAAATTATTTCTGGCTGATGGGGAGTTAAATCTTCCATCTGTTGCACTGCTATCTGACTCTTCTGGGTGTGTTGAATAGCATGTTCCCGCACTGCTCAGGTAGCATGATCGCTGTTAGGGCTCATTCACACTGGAATCGGCCCGCATGTACAGCTCCGTGCTGCGTGCACGGCCGTATCGGGCAGCTCCTGGGAAGGACAGGTGCTGCGTGCTATTAGTACGCAGCCTCTGTCCTTCTCTATGGGATTACGCAGCTGTACGCCCCCCTACGCTCACCTCAAGTGCAGGTTCGTAGGGGTGCGTGTTTCCTGGCTCGAGCGCAGACAGGATCCATCCTGTCAGCGTACCAGTATGCTCACCCGCACGGACGTGTAGGGCGGCGTACGGCTGCGTCCTCCCATGGAGAAGGATGGGGGCTGCGTACTAATCACACGCAGCACCTGTCCTTCCCGGGAGCTGCCCGATACGGCCGTGCACGCAGCAGAGAGCTGTACGGGCCGGCCGATTCCAGTGTGAATGGGCCTTTACCGTGAGCAGCATGTGGAGGGGCATGTTGGACCAGTGGAGATACGGGCTGCTGCCTTGTGTGTAGAGCAGCGAGCGGTCTGACTCCCCAGCGTGCTGCCACCACAAAGTATTCATACTCTTGCTGCAGCACATGCTACCTGATCAAAAGAAAAATACCAGCACATGTATTACTGCATAGGAAGCTTGAGTGCAGTCAGGGCTATCTTTAACATTGATTGGACCCTGGGCAAACATTTTCTTGGGCAGCCCCTACCCGCCACATCCTGACCCACCCCCATCATGCAATGCAGAGCAGATAGGAGGAGACATCAGAGGAAGACGTAACCCTGTGTGAGACATCACATGGTAAAGCTACGCGGTGTACAGAAGGGAAGGAACAACCGATCGCACAGTAAACAGAACAATGCCACGTGTGTCTCTTTTGCGGGCTAAAGGGGCAGCTGCTTTGGGCCCCACAACCGTGACTGGGCCCAGGGCAACTGCCCCTTTTGCCCTGCGTTAAAGACAGCCCTGAGTGCAGTACAGTCATGAATGAAGATGGTTCAAACGGGCTTTCAATGCAATTGTTCTTTCTCTGTAGAGAAGCAGCTAAAGGAAAACGATATGAAGTTGGATGAAGACGCCTTGCAGCATTTGGAGGCAGTCGTTGATGCTGTTAAAGAATTGGTAAGAATTTTTGTTTTTAATTTTTCAAGCGGAACTGAACACTGGAAGCTGAGCCACCCCCCAATAAAGACATGCAGGGACTAGTCACCAGTCTTGCCTATGGTCTCCTTACACAGCCTCCATTACTCTTCTTCCATTACTAACTTACCATGTCTGGTTCTACACTATCAATAGTCGGAAAATAAATCCCCAGCACTCCAATGTTTGCTCTACCACTCCGTCTTTATAGGCTGCACCATCCGCAGGCACTGCATCACCTACCTATGGGTTCACATAGGTCAGGAGTGTGATGGGGCTTATATGCATTTGTTCTACACTATGTCTCGGTGTAGAGGCAGCCATCTTGGTAAAAGCATGGCTTTGCTTCCTCATATCAGAGCCTCAAGTAAAGAGAACAGTGAGCAGCACAGTAGTGAAATTACTGAATCTACCTCTCGAGAATAGCAGTCAAAGGCAGCAGTGCGGAGGTCTGTTTTAACCCTTTCGCTGCCAAGCCCTCCGGAACATTTTTCAAATCAGCTGATATGAGATAGACAACAGATGCATTTTGTTGCATTTCATATTTAATTTTGTCCCAATTCAGGAAGACATTAGAAGGGCTACACGTGAGCTTCTGGAAGCGGAGACAATCGAAAACAGCAAACTTCGATACAAAGTCACGCATCTGCCCGGAATGATATCAAAGGAAATAGAAGGTAATGTTTAAACAGTAATAGTATTTTTTTTTGTTTTCTGGATAGAGTGAGTAAGGGTTCCAACATCTTTCAGGTTTTTATTGCTGTTTATGACTTTTCAAGTATATTTCCCATCACTTCCTGTCCCTTTGACACCAGGACTAGGAACATAGAAGAGATACGTCAGAAAAAGACAAAGTGGTTCATAAAGACTGCCCCTTTTTTATTTTTTTCCAAGCATCAACTACTGTTTCGAAAAATAATAATTTTTATTAGGGATGCACCGATACCGGTATTTCGGTACCGATATTTTTTTCCAGTACTCCCCGATACCAAATACCGAGTACCGGAAGTCCCATTCAGGAAGCCAGGCGGCGTGTAATGACTCGCCACCTTGCTTCCCGATTAGCATGGAAGCTATCCCATGCTTCTCGTCACAGGTGACGAGAAAGCATTGAGTTGGCTTTCTGGCCAATCAGGAAGCCAGGTGCTGTGTAATGATGCGGCGCCCGGCTTCCCAATTAGCCCGGAAGTGAGTTGATGAGGGCTGTGTCATTACACTGCGCCTGGCTTCCTGATTGGCCAGCTTCTGACCAATCAGGAAGCCGGGCAGCGCTTCATTACAAGTTGTACCACTAGGACAGGAAGGACAGGATTTTTGAAAGCTTCTCTATTTGTTAAGCTGGATATACATGCTTATATTTTCTTTGTTCAACTTGTGGGCTGAATGAAGAAACTATAACAGATTCTTCCATCAACTCTTATGAGTGTTCATGGACCAATACCCCACTGTTTGCATTGTATTCTGACAGTGGCCGGCTGCTGTCAGATTACCCAAATGGGGCTAGCAGTTGATTGGTTACTATCTCCGTTCTGACAAAAAATTTCCAACCGTCTCCTTTGATCAGCTGATCAAGGCATGCCAGGCAGAACGGTGCTGATAGTGGCATGCACTGTGTGAATTTTGTTCCTGTTCATTCTGGATGGAATTCGTCCTGTGTATAACCGGCTTTCTGTCTTCTTTGAAAAAATGAAGAGGCAAAATGTCACCAGCACACCGGAAAAACTGGGCAAATAAACAGTTACATAGTTACATCCCAGATAGCAAGGATAACTTGCCACAAACTTGTGTCAGGGTTAAATTGTAATTCTTGTTAACTTGCTGCACACATTCCTGGCAAGTTGTAGACTTGCAGAACACTTGCAGCACAAGTTCTAGTTGACACTTTTTGAATTTGTAGCAAATTTGCTTGGCAGGTCTACAGCAAGAGTCCTGCAGGTCTTAGCAAGAGCTCTGCAAGCTCCCTGGTCTGGAGACTTGCAATGCAGACTTGCTGTAACTGTGCAACAAAATTGTGAAGCTTGGCAAGTCTGCAATAGTTTAGCAAGTCATTTTCAAACTTGCAGCTCAATTACTTGCTATCTGGGATAGTATTTGAGGTTGAATAAAGACACAGGTTCATCAAGTTCAACCTATTGTGTGTATGTTTTTATTGACGCATTTTGTCACAATGGTAGCAACTAGGGATGTACTGATACTAGTATCCGTATTGGTGCCGATACAGAGTATTTGGGCAATTACTTGTACTTTCCCAAATTCTCCCGATACCTATCCCGATATCGGAACTTCCGGTATCAGGACGCCGGGTAGCGAGTCATTACACGCTGGCCGGCTTTCAGATTGGCTGAGAAGCCGACTCCATGCTCCCTCGTCACCAGGGAGCATGGAGCTGGCTTCCCGGCCAATCAGGAAGCCAGGGGGCGGATAATGACTCGCCACCCGGTTTCCTGATTGGCCAGGAAGCCGGCTCCATGCTCCCTCGTCACTTAATGAAGAGGGAGCATCGTCACTTAATGAAGAGGGATCATGGAGCCGGCTTCCCAGTAAATCAGGAAGCAGAGCGGTGAGTCATTACACACCACCCAGTTTCCTTAATGGGACTTCCAGTATCAGTATTCGATATTGGCGAGTACCGAAAAAAAAATATCGGTACTCGTACTTGATACCGGAAAAACAGTATCGGTACATCCCTAGTAGCAATGTTTCAGAGCTTTGCAGGGTCCCCTTCATCAGGCTCAGTTTGGTCATATCTATGGGAGATAGATGGATAGGTTGTGGTAGAGATTTCCAGAGGCGAGCATGGGAGGAGTTGATGAGGGAGCTGGAAAGCAGGTATGTTAGTAAGTTGATTTTTTTTTTGGTTCCTGTTATCCTTAGCTGCGGTCACAAGTGCTCGTGAGTCTGTCTCCTCAGAGATGCTGCAGTTACAGAATGAACTGAGAAGTATAACCTTGGAACTGGAAAACACTGAGAAGAAGCAACTGGATTTTGAGAAACAAAATTCTTCTCTTGGGTAAATTTGCCTTCTGGTTTTTTTTTTTTCAAACAGTCAAGACTGGCAATTTAAAAAAAAAATCAAAAACATATTCTGACAGAAGTTTGTTTTGAAAACCAAGTCCTTATAGGGCAAGAAAGAATCCCATGGCTGATTTATGGGGAAAGCTAAATTATTTGGGAACCATACAGAGAATTCTTCTGCTCTAATATCATCTGGATGTTTTCGCATCTTGGATGTAACTTTTCACCCTCTATTCTCCAAAAGTCTTGTTTGTGGCATGTGCATGGACGTGCTTATATTTATTTTTCAAATTCTTTAAAGTGACACTAAGCTCAGAAGTTAAATCTTAAAAATGCATTCAAGTACCTTAACTACTACCAAAAATGTACCTTATTTGTGTATCACTCGGCTGTAGATCCTCAAATCATCTCTGAATTGGTGCTGACAGTGTCCTTCCTTCTGGAGGGGGGCTACTTTTGTTCCCCATGGTCCCTGTGATAGTAGCGGACCAAAGACAGTCAGGCTTGGTAGGAAAGCGCTAAGTGATGCTGGATCTCCTCAGGCAGGATAAGAAGGAGGCTTTATCTGACTTGCTGCAGCTTGTAATGCACACTGTTAGAAGCTCATGCTGTGCAGTGAAATCAGAGTAAGTAATGTCAGCCCAGGAGAGAAGCCTGTGGAAGACTGAAGGTAAGGCTGGAGTTCAGCTTCATTGGCATTATTCCTCACATGTTATTTAACAGTTTAGAAATGTAGCTGCTTCCATTCAACAATGTTGTTTGTATTAGACTGGGCGCACTGCATGGTACAGGAATTGTGTCTGTTATAGGATTCAAGGAAGAACACTTTGGGATGAACATGAAAAAGCAGTTGATCTGCTCAACCAGCAGATGGCAGACAAGGCCAATCAAAGCATGCGTGTGAACCAGACTCACAGCAAGCGGAAGGAGGCTGAAGAAGCTGTCATTGAGTATCAGCACAAAACTGAAGATCTAGCTGAGGATATGGTCATTGAAAGAAAACAATTCACTGAAGAGAAGGAAAACCTAGAAACTCAGGTGTGTCTTGTCACACTATAAATCTCTCAATCTGCTGGTCATTCTAATGGTACTTTTTGTGTCTAGGATATTTTTCCTATAAATACATTAATTCAGAATGTATTACAATTCATTCCATATATGCTGAGAGTCCAACATCAGGCACAATGAACTTACCCAGGTTCAGGCAGTTATAGACTCCTGTCATGCTACATACTGCAGTTGGGGGAGATACACCCTCCACTGTACTAGAGCTGCAGCTAACGATTATTTTCAAAATCGATTAGTTAGCCGATTATTAAGTTCGATTAATCAGTTAATCTACTAGTTTGTATTGAGATTGTAGTCCATCACAGGAGCAAGCTTGGAGCGGTGGAAAAAATAGTGTGGTGTGCAATATAGTGAAAAGGAAAGTGTAAAATTATACAGCAATGAATGCAGAATTGCACCGGCTATAGAGGACTACAAATCCCAGCAATAGTACATTATACAGCGCAATGCAGAATATCACCAGCTATAGAGGACTACAACAAATCCCAGCAATAGTACATTATAGCTGGTGGAATTCTGCATTGCGCTGTATAATGTACTATTGCTGGGATTTGTAGTCCTCTATA